TTTCCGCGCGAGGTTGTAGCTCAGTGCGCCACTTTCCGCGCGAGGTTGTAGCCGAGCAAGGATCAGATGCGCCGAGGAGGGTGAAGAATGTGGTCCTGCCCTTACCAGCTTGCGTATCGAGTTGCTGTCATTTAGCTGTAAGCAACGCAGCCGGCCCTCTCTCCTTGTGCAAATAATAGACCTTTCATTTCCAAGGGAGACCCCCGATTTTTGTTTTCCGCCCCAACATGAGACCTAACGGGTGAGACTGGAGCAGAAAGCGGTGCGATCAGCCCCCGAGATGCTCTCCAGCGAGACGGCTCAGAGGACGAGCCTTAGACACAGCCGAAGGAATTCAGGCCATAAAACCGGTGATAGACGTTAGACCTCGGGGAGTTATTGAGCCGTCTTTGCGGTGTCCAGTTTCCACATTGCACAGATGTTAGGCTGCTGGGCGCTGTTTAGCGGTGCGTGAATTAATTCAGCTGCGCATCGAGCGGTTACTCTAAAAGGGGCACGCAAGCAGGTTTTTTTGCAGTGCGTCGCTCTGGGCATTACCTGTGTTCTGCCTCGCCTGCAGGTGTACGTGGATATTCCCGGGGCCATGAACCTGTTCCTGAATCTGCCGCTGGTCATCGGCACCATCCCCCTGCACCCCTTCGGCAGCCGGACGTCCAGCGTCAGCAGCCAGTGCAGCATGAACATGAACTGGCTGGGCATGGCGCTTCCTGAGCGGCCTGAAGGTATGGGGGCGGAGGGGGGAGGGCGCCAGAGCAAACAGGACACGGGTGATGGGGTCAGTGCCTGGGCCCGTGGAGACACTCAGTCCCACACGGGTCTGCAGTGCTGCACAGTACAGCTGCAGTGAAGCAGTGCAGGGATAATAGTGGAGCCCAGCTCATGTCGTTTCTGTGACCGGGGTTCATTACAACCAGCGCCCAGACATAAGCACGCAGGAAGGGGAGAAAAAGCAGGTCACTGATGGGAGCGCGGGATTCTCGCTCAGAAGTGCTCGCTGGTGCCATTATCCCTCTGCAGGGCAGAGCGTAGGGGACGTCCCTGTCTTTCAGGAACACAGAGCCCCTTGTTTAAGGAATGAAGTTGGAATGGCCTGGAGTTTTGGGGAGCGATCAAACGTTTCGCAAAAGCGTTGGGCAGGACAGCGAGGAAAGAGTAGGCTGGCATGTCGCTGTTAGGGGTGACGTCTGGGTGCTGAGGAGTGTTATTTGTGTCCCTGTCAAGCCCCCCCAAGCTATGCAGAAATCGTGACCGAGGAGCAGCGGCAGAGCAGCATGGAGGTGGCCGCGCCGCGGGATGAGTTCGAACGAGCCCTTGAAGGGCCGCTGCTGGCGTACATCCAGGAGTTCCGGTTCCAGCCGCCGCCGCTGTACTGTGAGGTGAGACAGGCTCACGCAGCCTCACGCAGGCAGGGCTCGGCCCCGCGACCTTGCGCACGCTGCGTCAGTGGTAGCACGAAGGATAAGAGCCACTGAAACGCAGCACGGCACGTTGAAGCCTGATGGGTGGGGTTTTTTAACTGCAGGCGTATCATCTCAGTTTAAATACAAGTAGCTCCTCACCAAGTAGTTGTAAAGCTCCTAAAGGAAATGATGAGGGACTGCTAATTTTTCTACAATTATTTCATAAAGTTGAGTTGCTCTTAAACTCTTCAGGTATCCAGTGATTTCACTCTTTTTTTTTTTTCCTCCTGTGTTGCTTTTCTCAGATCGATCCCAATCCTGATGAAGTCGATAGCAATGAACTGGGGAGGCCAGACATGTGCCCATCTCGCTGAAGGCGACTGGCCCGCCAGCCCCACTGCGTTTGGGTCGTAGTTTTGGTTTTGTTTTTTTTTAAAAGAAAAAAAAAGTGGCATCCTAGCTCTGTGGTGGACAGAGGAAAAGGAGATGAGTTCCGCTGACACGCAGAAGAAACTGTCGGGACGACCCTTCCTGCCTTGTGTCGGACGAATTTTATCCAACATGTCATCCGTGTATTGAAGTCTACAGCCTAAAGACGCAAGACTTGTCTGCCTGCCTAGAAAACTGTGCTTTCTGTAATGGTGGCACACAACGTGACTATGTTGAGCAGACCATGTAGACAAACAAACCATCATAACACGCTGTCTGTGGCATTAAGCAGCGTTCAGCTTCAGAGGAGAGAAGTTATGTCCTCTTGCCTCATTCAGAATTTTGCACATGTTGCTCTTTGCTTTGTGTTGCGTGGTTCTATTTCAAATCACTAATTTTTGTTTCCCTCCCGACGCTCAAGTGTGCTGGACTGGGAAACCCTGCAGGCTTTGCCCCCCAGACATTTCCTTTATCCGCACAACTACGAACAACGCAACCCGAGAGTACAAAAACTGAAGACGAACTGAACGGGGGAGGGAGGAAAAAAAAATGCACTGACCTTGTTAAGTTGTTCTGTTTCGTTTGTGTTTCCTTGAAAAGATGTAGTCTGAGCTGTACCTTGGCACTCCTGTTCCTCAGGCTCGACTCTGCCTGGCCTCTTCAGCCTGTATCCAGTGGTGGCGTCGTTTTTTTTTTCTTCTCATTTCAAACATCAAATGCCTTTAAGCCAATATTTGTGCTGGTTTCGTAGCCTCCATAGTAGAACAGCCGCAGATCAAGGATAAAAACAGGAGACTGCAGGGTGCCTGCGATCGAAAGGGTCGGACGTTTTTACTTTTGTTGCCTTTCTACTATCATCATCGGAGCGGCGTTGTTACATACTGCCTAAGACGCTCGATCTCAGGTGATCGTCTCACTTGCCAAACGGGTTAGGAGTGCGGTTGTGTGTCGTTTCAAGCCGCTCGGTGTCAAAGGGGAGAAAAATAAAAGTGGAGAGAGGCAGGGCAGCTTTTTAAGACTTCTCACATTCCCTTTTTTGTCCTGCTGCATTTGCTTGGCTTAGTGTAGCCCTAGTCCAGTGTAGCCAAAAAGTGAAAGATGGCAGGCGGGGACACTGGCAGGGACGCTCGAAGGGTCCAGTTAGCAGTATGTGGAGCGGATGCTTCTGAACCGCTCATCAGTCAGGAGAGCCAACTGGACAGATGCGGATAAAAGCGTTTTTGAAACTTAAAATTACATTAAAAAAAAAAACGATCCAAACGGAGAAAGGGGAAATGTGTCTTGGCGTGTTCAGTAGAGCCTTAACTTAGAATGCTTTTTTTAAAATAATGAAGGCGGACAACGGCAAAAACAAAGTTTGGTTACTCGTGAAAAGAACAACTGTAGAAGTTCTCAGTGATGCACAAGTGTTGGAAGTGGTGATTTTTTTTAAAAAAAAGTTTACAAACCTTAATACCAATTTTATTAGCTGAGAACCGGCAGAGAATTGTAAATGGACTTTAAAAAGTGATCTTATTTGCGTGGCCTTGACAAAGAACTGACTTAAAACTATTCCTTGTCAGAAAACAAGTAATATCATTTGGAACCAAGCTTGTTATTAATGTTGTTGCTGAATGTTCATTTAAGACCTTAATCACTGACTGGGACAAAAAGGGGAAACATGAGTCCTTGAAAGCGGGAAGAAAAGAGATGTCTGATGGTCCCCAAAGAAGCTTTTTTTAAAAAAGAACTGGGGTAGTTGGCGACTTCAGGCATTTGGTGTTTGTATTCCAGTGAAACAACCCCATCATTTTTGTTTTTCAAGACTTAGGGAACAAGTGCTGTGTTGGTGCAGCGTCTTCAAGGGTGGAAAGATCCGGTCAAAGTGGGACTGACTGTTCCTGTCAGGTGCTCGCTGAGTGCCGCCGGCTCTTTGCGGTTTTTGTACATTTATGTTGACGAGGGAGTTTTGACATGTGGACGTAAAGCTAACTAAAAAATTTAAAAACCCTACAAATACTTTTAATCATGTTCCTTTTTTTTACTTTCCATTTCTCGTTGGTCAATCCCAGAATGTTTAAGGTGGGGTTTCCATTCTGTTCCAGTGGTTAAGCTAATTCCCGATGTCTATATTGGGAACTAAAATGTCTGAGACGGTGGGGTGCAGGATCCAAAATGTTAGAAAAAAAAAGTGCAATATTACATGTTTTTGTTTGATAGAATTTATTTTGTGGCTGTTTGTACAGTTTCTCACTTTTTTATATTTTGTTTTCATTTTTTTTTTAGTTTGGTGCTGTCAATTGTAGATTCTGTTATGAGAGATGAATACTTGTTCTGAATGATTTTTTTTTCGTCTAGTTCTTCCTTGTGTAAAATAAACAAGGCTTTTTGTTAAAGGGTTGCCATGTGTCTTTTTTTCTTTGTTCACTAACGGTCTTGCAGGTAGGCTGGCTGGTCTGGTTTCTACGATTCAGTCTTGAAAGCTGTTTGTCCAGATTCTTACAACTTCGGTGAACTAAACTCGTTATTAGTTACATCCACCAGCTATAGAATAAGTACTTTAGGAAATTTCCAAAAGAGGATTTCTCTTTATCTGGGCGAACGTCTCTGAAGCGTGTTTCCCTTGTTCAAAGTATGCAGACAAAGTCCAGACGTAGTGTGGAAATCAGGCTCGTACAGGAGGGAAAGAACGTGGCCACATGCGAACTTTCGAACCCTGACCCGATTGTTGTCCATGTTACTTTAAGTAAACTGTTCTGTACTTTGGTCGTAACATGCCTGACATGACTGACATGCTTGAGGATTCACTGTCCTAATCGCCAATACGAAAGCAAGCGTGAGGTGGTAATGGAGGTAAGGAACCCACTTTCCCAACTGGTAGCTAAATCTTTTATTTCCGTTATATCCAAACCCGAGTTCGCTGCCCTAAAGCCTGTTCCTTGGCACTGGAGTCGGTCACCTTGCCTGGTTCTTGCCTAGACTGTTCCCAAAGGGAATAGAATGACACATCAAACGGGGGACATGGGTTTTCCCTTACAGAGCAGGTCTCGTCCAAATGACTTTTCTCTTTGTTAGTGTGGATGTGCGATTAGTGCAGTGGGTCAGATCTGTATTATTTCACATGCTCCATGCTGACTGTGCCTGAATGGTGTTCAAACTCCATCGTGAAATAATTTGAGCTGGTTTCCTGCAGCTTTCCTCCTGGTGTGTTCTCAGGGTGTGCACTGTGCAGTGGGGCTACTGGCACAGAACGGCTCCCGTGTCAGTCAGGAGGTTTGATGGAACAAGTAAAGGTTTATTCCATGCTGAGAAGAGATGAAAAGAAAACAATTCGGCTGTGGAGACTAGTTTGGGTATTTGATGTAGGTGCCTTCCTATATTTCAAGCCCTAAAGAGATGTATTTTTTTTAAACAATTCATTTTTTCACTAGCAGAGCTAAATTCCGATACCCGTACTGTACATACGCATACTGGAAATATAGCCAGGATGCCCTGGTTCTAAGCAATGAAGTTCTCCTGTACCACCCTCTTGGTATTTGTGTGCATTTCACCTTGTTTATCCATTTACAGAAAGATGGGCTGATGAGCTGTATGAAATATCTGAAATTCAGGTGTTTAACGACTCAAAATATTCAGATATGAGCAAAGGGGCTGTTTCTGCACTTAGCTGAATGGCACTTGTATGTCAAGATCGCCCCCTGGACTTTCCCTGGAGCATTGCAACATATCTTTCTGTATTGTTCTACGCAGGCTATGGTGGTAAAGATTCGAATATGGGTAAGTCTTGGAAAAAGCATACATGGGCAGTAGGCTCAGCATCAGAAGAAACTCGAACCTACGCATGGATGTTATGAGAAAACTATGCAGAATTTGGATATTGAGTAAATGTCTTTGGCATTATTTTAATTGATCATCTGTGACTATCTGGAACACTCAAGTGACTTAGCTGTATAAACAGCAAAAGGGTTTCATCGGTGAACGAGCCGATGGTGCAGCGGAGATGAGGTGTTAACCTGTTGAATATTAAGCCTGGAGAAGATGAGGTGTTAACCTGTTGAATATTAAGCCTGGAGAAAGTAAACGAAGGCAGAAAGGAACAATGGCCTTTGGGTCACTGGTAAAGTTGAGGGGTCATGATTCCAGGTGGAGAACACAAGACCGGAAAACAACAGCCTTCTAGCGAGACGAGACCGCTCACGGCCCTGGATCCCTTACTCTCCTGCTTGTTGCGTGTGTGACGAGCAGGGACGGTGTGAGGTATCTGCTGTAGGTCTCGGACACCAGTGAAGAGACACAGGCAAGAGCAGGGTATGCAAGAATAGCCAATGTCTGTAACCTGGTGCAAAACATGCATCGCAGACGTAGCTTGGATTGCTGCCCTGTACAATTCACAGCAGCCTGTCATTGCACCTGTACATTATGCATTTCAATGCTGTATACATCTTCAGATGTCCTAGTCTGGATTTCTAGCAGTACCTTTATGATTCCTTTTAATGGTTTTAAGAACTTCACCTAAGTTATGTTTTGTGAAATCAACATAAAAGTCAACTGGCAGGATATTTTAATACCCAGGACACCAAAGCCTCAGGTGTGGTAGAGTTTTTTTTTTTCCATTTACTGTAGTTCTAACCAGTGACCTGTTTTTCCTGAATTCAAGAAAAAAAAAGTCTGCACGTAGGCTGAAATCCTGTTTTTTGACTTTGGCAGCCACATGGCAGAGTTCCTTCGGTAATCCCGAAATACGTGACGCGTAGGCAAGTATGTTTGTCTTCCCACACGCTGGTGACAGGAGTTACAGAAATACGGTAAGTGCTTATCACACTGCAAACAGTTTCATATTACGGTTTCTGCTGCACAAGTGAAACTGCATATTTACCTTCAGCCCCTACTGCCTTCAAACCCAGCAGTCTCTCCCCGTGCGGCCCCTCTGCGGTTTTACAGAGCATTGTATTGGAGAACGTCTTCCACCACATGTTTATGTAATTTGCATTGTGTTTCGGAGCTGCGTTCTTGTTTCAGTGATTTCGAAGAACGAGACACAGATTACAAATGCAAAGGAGGCCATTCCGTCCAACAGGCCTGTCCAGAAGGGAGTGTTTACTTGATCCCAGGATCCCATCCAGCTGTTTCTTGAAGGGCACCAGGGTATCGGCTTCAACAGCAGGGATGGGTATGCTTGTTCCACACTCCAGCCGCCCTGTGCAGTGAATCTGGGATTGATCTGGTGCTGTAGTCACTGCTTCCTCACCTGCATGTTGTTTAACCCTCACTGGGCACCACTCTGCTCTACACTGCAAAGACATTGCACTCCTAACGTGCAATATTGTTGTAGAATATTTTTTTGCCTTCTTATTTCTTCAAATTAGTGCCAAGCAATTAAAATAAAATCATGGAGGTTCATTCCAGGTCTTGGGGATCAGACAGGTTTCTCTGGGCTGTCCTGAAACCAGATCCACATCCATGTCAGAAGAGGGTTACAAAGCCTGGGAGTATCAGTATTCTGATGACTCAGCAAATTCCACGCTACTCTGGCTGACTCAGTGTCCTTTCTAAAAGCCTGTCCATCCCTTGCCATTAAGATAAACAGGTTTTGGCAACTGCAGCTTTGGGTGGGATGTACAGAAAAGGGGGCTTTGTAATGAAAGTATACTTCTGCTGATTAAATCCTGCTGGTGATGTACAGTTCTCTTCCTCTCTGACTAACCCTACACTCCAGTGTCTGCAATACAGGAAACTGTGGGCTGTGCGCACTGAGTAACAGAGCTCAGCAGCACAATCAATTACATTCAACAGGCTATTGCAAGATCTCCCTTTCTAACAGGCATACAACTGCTTGTTTTATTTAATTGCTTATAGGAAATACAGATAAAACACAATAATACCACGTTGCCACATCTAATGTACTTTTCTTTCCCTTTAACAAAAAATTAGGTAGTGTAGACTACGATTTTACCAGCTAGAAATGATTCCTTTTTTTATTGATGAAAAGAGTGATATGAATTATTCTGTATATACTGTATGTGCGGTATCTTCATCTTCTAGGGTAGGAGCTCTGACGATGAAAGGAGATATTTTTGTTCTAAAACAGCTCCTCTAGAGAAGAACTAGACTGAAGGTTTGGAGGTGTTGCCAGAATGACTTGACCTGAACCAAACTGGACAGCTTTGGTAAGAAACCAGAACACCTTGCTACTCTAACTGCTGATGGAAATTCATTATTACTAAAGGAGAAGAAAATCAGAAGCAATTATGGACATGCATTTGTACTTTTTTATTTGAATGTTTCTGTCATTTTCCTTAAAATATGGTATATCTAATATCAGTGTTATACTTTTGTTAAGTTTAAGCACATAACTACCACGTCCCAGTATGTTATGAGGATCACACTTTCACCCTTCTCTCAACAGCGGACTCTCTTTTCTTTTGCAGGTTTCGACTTCACGCCCCCCGAGTGCCCACTCCTGCTCCCGCCTCCGCTCCACTCCCGGCTCTTGTTCTCCTGTGCTGTATCAGCTGCCGCTTTTCCTCTCTTTCTCACACCCGAAGAGGGCTCCTTCTTTTTTCGGCATGGAATACACCTTTACTTGTTCCAAGTTACAGCGTGCGCAAACCTGTCTTCGCCTCCAGACCATCGGCTGAAATCTGGGCTCGTTATTCCTCGAGATGTGTCAATACGTTGGTGATGTCCGTCCCGGCAGGCACTAACCCAGTCCACGTGGCGCCAGCTGCCCTGATCCGTGGCCTGGGCACAGGCCCAGTCTCGATGTGGGAGATATAGGTTCTGTTGGGAAGCAGTGCAGAAAGCCTTTATACAGTACCTCTCTAGGTAGGCTAAAGCACACTCCTGCAACATCAACACATCTCCCTCTCTCTGCTGGAGGTCATCAAAGACAGGCTGGCATTTAACGCTGTCGTTGATACCTCTGGTGTTAAGAGAAACTATGTTCAGAGCCATTATATGTAAGAAAGTGAAACCAGTCTTTACAAAACACATTTCTCATCTGTCTCATCTGTTACCTTCTTCTTCATTTTTCTTCTTGCCAATTTCCTGCCAGCCATCCTCTGAATGAGCCTTCATCAGGGTGGCGGCAGCAGAAGTCTTCACGGAGTCTGTTTCAAGGAAAGGGGTAGAGGGGTCCAGCTGTCCCCAACGCCATGCTCTCCTTCCTCCTCGCTGGGAGAGAAGACGGAGTCATTTTTCCTTTTCCTCCAGTCCAGATCCTGAGAGCGCCGAGGGGTGTGGGCTGCCCCCAGGAGTCTGGCGGTGGGAGGGGGCAGATCCAGCCCAGAGTGTCCATCAGAAAGGGACCGCGTCCAAGATTAAGGTCTCCTACTTGAGCAGAAGGGGCACAAGTCAGCTCACTCCAGGGAGGGTTAGAATTTAATCCTTCACAGGGTATTGCACGCCTTTGCCTTCTCATTAAGCATGTGCTGTGAAACAGAAAGGAAGAGTCTTTTCTGGTAGCACGAGAGTGATCATGCCTCCGTCATGCGTCTGTGTGTTTGGTTTTTGCTCTTGTTACTGTATGCCGCTGATACCAACCTTAAAAACACCACTGAAAGAAAATATCCGTGTGTGGAGGGGAATCATTTTTTAAACACATACAGTACACAGAATGACATACAGTATGAGGAAGGAATAAAATGTTGGAAATAATGAAATAGCGGTTTGATATTCCCAGGGCGAAAGAAAATCTGTGATCCTGAAAGGGAAAGTTAAATTGGATTTTGATCAGGAAAAGCTGTATCATGTTTACCCTTTCCTGGATGATTCAAAGGAACATGAATAGGTGGTTTAATACAAAAAGTACTACATTCCAGGAAAAAGGGCTGTTTAGTCTCTTAAATTTGCTTTGCCTGCCAAGCAAACCTGTGAGCAAACCTTTATACCACCGACAGCTGGCGTGTGGGGAGCGTTCTGGCGCACACCGGTGGAGGTGGAGGGGATCCCCATTACCTGTAAAGCACTTTGAGTGGAGTGTCCACCGAAAGCGCTATATAAGTGTAAGCAATTATTGTTATTGTTGTTCTGCTTTTAAAATCAAGAACAGAAGCATTACTTTACAAAAAGAGTGGTGGGATTGTGGAAAAAACTACCTAGCCCTGGATCAATTAATTACTAATTACCAAAAAGGGTTCCTCCCATTTGTAACTTTTCTTATGGTTTTATGACGTTTGCACGCCATCTATTAAAAAAAAACTGTCGTTTTAAGGACGACAGTTTTTAAACTGTCGTGCACGCATGTGTGTGCCCAGAGCATCCTGGCAAATGCTTGTAGTGTTTTACTAAGA